TGGAGCAAAGTTATACCAGATCCAAAAGGAGATCAACGACCTCACACAAGGTACTCTGGATATTACTGTTTTCTACACTTGAATGAAGAAATTATGGGAAGAATTGAACACTTTGAATGTGAGAAATCAGTGCACTTGCATCTATAATTGTGGAGCTAGGGATGGAATGCACAAAGCAGAACAAGACAGATGTTTAATACAATTTCTGATGGGGATGAATGAAGTGTACACTGTGGTTAGGGGAAATATCCTATGATGAATCCCCTTCCTTCGATGGCACAGGCTTTTTCGTTACTAATCCAGGAAGAAAAATAGAGAGAATTCCGCCCTAGTAGTCGAATGCCTATAGAATCCGCTTCTTTGAATGTGAATACTTACAACACCAATAGCAAGGGTCTAATGGGAAGGAACTACATGGCATCCTTTTCAAATGATACCTATGCTGGAAACAATAATGTCTCAGGAAACAACAATTATGGAGGAGGCAATTACTACTCAGGCAGTAGTAGTGACAGAAATGTCAAGTTTTGTGACTATTGTAAGAAATCAGGTCACATTAAGGAGAGATGCTACAAGTTGCATGGGTACCCACAAGGACATAACAATCAGAATCACAGGAACAATGGATATCCACCAAGGCAAAATAATAATCAAAATCACAAATGAAAGAGGGTTGTAGCTAATGTACATGGTGATGACATGATGCCTACTCAGGGGGAAGATTTTTCACAAGGTAGTCACAATCAAAATGCCAGACTCACTAAAGACCAATGCACTCACATCATGAACCTTCTGCAACAATTTCAGAATGAACATACATGAGAGGATCCAACTATTTCAAACAGCAATGCTGTGAATTTTGCAGGTATTGTGGTTTGTTCCTCCTCTATTGATTTTGGCAATCCTTCATGTAAGTGTTTTAAATCAAGTGCTGACTTATGGATCATTGACTCGGGGACATCCAACCATATAACTTTCAACAAATCTTCCTTAACTAACATTCAGACCCTACCATATCCTATACTTATCTCACTTCCCAATGGATATAGAGTTAGGGTGACAGAATTTGGTGATGTAATGATCACACCTAAGATTGTTTTGCACAAAGTATTATATGTGCCTTCTTTTATATGTAATCTGATTTCAGTGCATTCATTGACTCTTTCCATGAATTGCATAATTTTGTTCACTAGTGCATTTTGTCTGTTACAGGCCCCTTCAGTGAAGAGGCCTCAGGCAATTGGTAATAGCAAGGATGGGCTCTATTTTCTCTGCTCAAAATGCCTGAAGAGCACCACTAAAAATTCCACATGTTGTTGCTTGTCTCATAACAACATTTTCATTCCTAATTCTAGTAATAAGATTTCTAATGTTGAACACTCTTCTGTCAAATGTACTTCTGTTAAAGATTCTGCAAGTTTGTTTACAGCTGATACAGCTGAATCTCATTCTGTCAATGTTCTTAAAACTGTTGTATGCTCTTCTGTTTCTGATAATGATCAAAACATGTTGACTAATAATGATTCATGTGCATCTACTACACATAGTGTGGACTTGCTGTGGCACAATAGACTTGGCCATGTACCTTTTGTAAAAATGAGGAACATTCCTACACTTCCAGCCCATTTATCTCCCAAACAACCTTTCAACTGTAACATTTGCCCTATGGCAGGACAACAAAGATTGCCATTTCACCAAAGTACTACACATTCAAATGCTATTTTTGACCTTCTCCATGTTGATCTTTGGGGACCTTACCATGTATCCACACATGATAACTTCAAATACTTTCTCACCATAGTAGATGACTACAGCAGGCCACCTGGACTCACCTTTTAAGCACCAAAAGCAATGCCTTGCAAGTTCTAAAAACCTTTGTAGTTATGGTAGAGAATCAGTTCCAAATCACAGTAAAAAGTGTCAGGTCAGATAATGGACTAGAGTTCAATAATGCTGAAACCAGCAAATTTTTTCCAAACCAAGGGAATAATACATCAGAAAAGCTGCCCTTACACACCCCAACAAAACAGTATAGTAGAAAGGAAGCACAAGTATTTGCTAGAAACAGCAAGGGCCCTCCTCTTTCAATCAAAGCTTCCTGTAAAATATTGGGGTGAATGCATTCTTACAGCCACACACATCATAAATAGACTTCCCTCAAATTATCACAAGAACAAATGCCCTTATGAGATCCTTTATAAAACCAAACCAAACTACAATCAACTTGGATCTTTTGGATGTTTGTGTTATCCCACAGTACCCAAAGTACACAGAGACAAACTTGAACCTAGAACTACACCTCATATTTTTGTAGGTTATCCCTTTGGAACAAAAGGATATAGGGTAATGAGTCTTGCCACAAAGAGAATACATGTGTCTAGGGATGTCATTTTTCATGAAAACATTTTTCCTTTTACTTTATCTTCAGAAAGGTGTACTTTTCCTTCTGTTCTTAAAATAACTTATTCTACTGATTTTACTGATTATGTTGAATCAAGGCCTAATGATGATTTGTTGAATCAATGCTTAGATGTGATTCCTAATAACATTAATCTGTCATCTCATCCTCCATCTCCACAAACATCTCATGCTCCATTATCAGTTTCATCACCTGCCCTACTACATTGCCTCTCCTCCTGCAGTAATGCAAAGGAGATCCCATAGAGTGAATAAAATCCATTCACACCTAAATGATTACATTGTCTCCATCCCTGCCTTGAAACCCCATACTGCCACTCCACAGAATAACTCAAACACCTTTCCCTCAATGCCTTGTTCGCCAAACACCATCACATATCCCCTAATGTCCTTGCATCCACTAGTCAAGTAGTTGTTGAAAACATCTGCCATGATGGTGAACCTTCATCATATGAGGAGGCAGCCTTGAGCCCTGCCTGGCAGAAGGCTATGTTGCAGGAATTTGATGCACTTTATGCAAACATACTTGGGACCTTGTAAAATTACCTGCGGGAAAACAAGCCATTGGATGTCGATGGGTATATTAAATTAAGCATAAATCAGATGGAAGCATAGAGAGATTTAAGGCCAGATTGGTTGTAAAAGGGTATACTCAACAAGCCGGGGTGGACTATACAGAGACTTATTCACCAGTGGTCAAAATGACAACTGTAAGGACCCTAATTGCATGCGCTGTTAAGAAGGGTTGGGATATGTTCCAACTTGATGTGAACAATGCTTTTCTTCTTGGTGACCTTCATGAAGAGGTGTGTATGAAGGTACCACAAGGGCTTGATGTAAATGACACAGGTTTGGTGTGCAAGCTTAATAAATCTCTATATGGTCTCAAGCAAGCAAGTCGACAGTGGTATGCTAAGTTGACTGAGGCTTTATCACTCAGAGGTTATGCTCATTCTCATCACGATTACTCCCTTTTCTACAAAAAATTTGGTCCTCTAGTAGCATTTGTAGCAGTATACGTTGATGATGTTATTCTCACTGGTACAGACAATAAGGAAATCACTCAGCTGAAGACCTACCTGGACGACTCATTTAAGATCAAAGATCTTGGTCGATTACATTACTTCCTAGGTTTGGAAATACTTGATACTCCAGGAGGGTCCTTATATCTCAAAGAAAATTTGTGTTGGATCTATTGAAGGAGTACAATTGTCTCAACTACAGTTCTTGTTCTTCACCTCTTGATCCAAATGTCAAACTCAGGGCCAAAGAAGGAACTCCACTACCTGATCCTACATATTATAGAAAACTAGTGGGTAAGCTCAATTTTCTCACTAATACCAGATTGGATATAGCTTTTAGTGTCCAACAATTGAGTCAATACATGCAAGATCCCAGAGCTCCTCACCTGCAGGCTGCTTTCCACCTCCTCAGATACTTAAAACAAGACCCTACTTTGGGAATTCACACGTCAGACGATCCTGATTGCACTGTTAAAGCATACTGTGACTCAGACTGGGCCTCTTGCCCAGATTCTAGAAAATCAGTTAGTGGATACTTAGTTCTACTTGGGAATAGCCCTATCAGTTGGAAATCGAAGAAACAGGAAACCATTTCTTTATCATCCGCGGAGGCAGAGTACAGGTCTTTAAGAAAAGTAGTAGGTGAGCTAGTTTGGTTGCAAAGACTACTCACTGAGCTGACTATATCTGATCCTTCACCCATTGACGTCTACTGTGATAGTCAGTCTGCTATTCACATAGCCCATAATCCTGTCTTCCATGAGAGGACCAAGCATATTGAAGTCAATTGTCATTTTGTACGTAATAAACTTCAGGAGGGGCTTATTTCTCTTCACCACATCTCCACGACAGAGCAGCTCGCAGATGTCCTTACCAAGGCTCTTACTGGAGTTAAACACTCAACAGTTTTGGGTAAGCTGGCTGTGAGATCCTCACTGCCACCTTGAGGAGGGGTATTAAGATTTAACTAATTATATTGTAACTAGTATCATTGCTTAGTTCATTAGTTAGTTAACTGCAGCAGTTAGTTAATTACATAGCTACAGTAGTAAGTCGGTTAGAATGTCAAGAAGTTAGTTAGAATATTCTTTTACTATTTTGCTTAGCTGGATACAGCTGTCAACACTTTGTTCATGTGTATAAATACTTGTATCAGTCAATGGAGAAGGTGCGATTTATCATTTTCTCAAAACCCAGATCTCGTGAATTGCTCTCTCTCTCAATTACCAATTATGGTTTCTCTGTTTTAGGGTATTCACCTTTGTTGTGAAGTTTTGTTAAGGAGTGTAGCAGCAACTTTGTGACTACATTGGCAGAATGACTACAAGATCTCACCATGCTCAAGGGTAAATAGAAGTTCTGATAGCGTAATCTAGCAGACAAAATTCTAATAGCAAAACAAAACACACAGTACCATAAACTTAGATAAATATATTCGGCAAAAGATAAAGGTTCTCAACCACATTAGGGAAGATGGTAGAAAAGAGTGAGTGCAGAACATAGCCAACGTATGAATCATAGTCAATTTTACAAAAACATAAGCATCAAGAACATAGCACTTCATAAAATACGACACATGCCAGCAGAAGATTCCAATTTTCTTTCTTGGAGTTTGTCAGCCACCATTGGACGTTGTCTGTATCTATATATATCCCTCATCAGTCGCCTCTTATTTTCCAAGTTCATTAGAGCTGCTTCTGCACTTTTTTCAGCTTCCAAACGAGCAACACGTTCCTTTGCCAATTCTGCTTCAAGATGCCTCATCCCCCTCAGGTTTGATTCAACCTGTTAAATACCAAAAGGCATTTTGTCACAATCACACATCCATGAGGCTGGTCATTAGTGGAGCTAAGGGGTACAACAGGGTCCATCCGAATCCCCTTCGACTGAAAATTACACAGTATAATAAAAGGTCAAAATTATTACGTATATGACTGAGGCTCGTCAACTTTTCTAGAGACAAGACTATATATGACTGATCAACTTGGTTTGTAAATGGAACAATCAGGTGCCTAGTTCATATTAAACCATGATGTACTGGTCCCTCACAACAAATCTAGATTTAGATACAAATTAATTTATATTTGGATACAACAATGTTATTAAATTAATATGATTTACTCTGCACAGGATAAAGTTTATGATTTTTGAAATGAGGCAGAGAAACGAATAAACTTCACCATTCCCTGAAAGTAAGTACTAATGAACAATACAGCTGATTACAGTACCTTTAGTTCCTTGAACAGGTATGTTGTATATGGTTTTCCACCATTCTTTTCCACAACCAAATTCACATCTAAAAGAAGATTTCTTAATTGGTCAGCTTTCTTCAATGGATCATGAGTTTTATTGTCGAAAAGTACTTGTCTATTTCCACATTGTTTGAGAGCTTCCTGTAATGGTAGTACGAATAACTAATTGAATTGGATCAACTTTCATAATCATGAGCAAGCTATTTTAATATTTTATCTAAGAAAGTAGAATTTGCCAGTTTAACTTTACACCATATCCAATCATATTACATAAAATATCTGTAAATAATCTAACCTTTAAGGGCTCAGGGAAACAACCTAAGTAATCATCCAATGTCTCATCATCTTCAAGTTCATCTCCTCCTGTGAAGACCACAATCATATAATCGCTAATTTTGCTCTCAATGAGGTTCAGAAGGTATTGCACAGAAGTGTGTTCTTCTCTTGAAAATCGAGTTCGTACAGACAGAACCAAAAGTACAGCATGGATGCCATCCTTAGCCAGATTGAAGCACTTAACAAGTTCTCTTACAACAAAATCAGGGCCACAGGAAAAATCAAACAATCCTACAATTTCCAGATTACCATTTACCACAATAAAACAAGATGCAGCAATCATATGTGCATTAATTTAGAACTAACAAGTTCAGAATGAATGTAATCCGATTCTATTATGGAGTATATAGTACAAAATCTCCCTAGAAACAAAGAAATTTGGCTTTACTTGTATACATACCAGGGGTATCAATGACGTTAAGTATGTTTCCATCTTGTAATTGAGTAGTTTGAAGCAGGCAAGCAGTTGTAACATAAGAAGAGCAATGCATCGATTTGAAAGCCTTTGTTCCAAGAATGCTATTGCCTGTTGCACTTTTTCCATCACCTGTACGTCCAACCAAAAGTAGTGTCCGCTCTCCATTTAGAGAAATTTCACAATCATCACAGATCATCTTATCTTGTTGAATCAAATTACCTACACGGCTACACCAAAACTACATGGCTGAATCGATCAGAGTAGTATAAAAAAAGAACAGCAGAGTCCTAAACAAGTTTAACTCAACCTTTTCTATAATTCGTGATCAGAAAACACATGAAGATCTTTCCATAGATTAAATAAAGGCTACTATAAATATGACAGTGAAATAGTAATAGTTAACGTATTGATTAAGATGACAAAAATATGATTAATTCTTACTGATTGAAAAAAAAAACACATATCAGTCATCTTCATGAAGTCATGTTAAAAACAAACAGGGTATATTGAGGAAAAAATTACTGTACCTTTTTCTGGTAGATTGAATGACTGATGAGGATTAAAATTCCTAATAAAGAAACGATGGCTGTGCCTTTTGTTGAAAGGACGATTGGACCCTTCTCTTTATCCAAGTGCGTAATACTAATCCCTGATAAATATGTAAGGGTATGTTTGTCATTTAACAGAATCTTCCATGACTTCTCATTTTCCCAAAATTTTCACATACGATTTACGAAGACAACTTCCTGTCTGCCTAATAATTTGGATAACTGAAGCATCAAGCATGAACTACTCCAAATTTTAGGATTAAAAATCTCTTCACTGACCCTGCGTGAAAAGCTAGGCGCAAGATGAAATATAATAAGTACTCCCTCTGTTACTAATTAAGTAATTAGGGATAAAAAAAATAAAAATAAAAATGGACAAGTAATTTGGGACGGAGGGAGTAAGAATTTACATGCCTAAGATCATCTACCTACAGTGTGGCCCTTCCCCGGAGATGTTTAGTGCTTCGGCTACCCTTAAGATCATTCACCAAATCTGCCGGGAAGTTAGCCGTTATCCTCCATAAACATTTCAGTCAGAGATTTGCCAACACAGATTCGCGGGAAATTCAGATTGGATAGGCAACATTTCCCAAGCTTTCAAATCAGACAATTTAAAAAAATATCTTTGTATATGAAAGAATTTATTACTATTTTTTTTTAAAATATAGCAAATACTTTTGTCACTGAAAATAAATTTATTCTAATTTAAAAAAGTATTTATGTATAATAGGTAGTCACCATGGGCATAGATATAGTGTCCAATATTCTTCGTCGAAAAATTACATAAGATATATATGTCCATTTGAATGAAAAGGCTCTAGGTTTGAACCCGAAATAGCATAATATTTTTTTATTTTATTTTGACAGCCGCACACCATTATTCTTGAACAGTCTTGATAAAATTTCTGACGCTGCCATTGGTAGTCACAATAGTCTGAGTGTGTACTCGACTTTTCAGAACAAGATCATAAGGGACAAGTTGGATAATACACTTTCTTAATTCACTTAAAGGAAATATCTAAAATGTTATTTCAGCTTACTTAGATACATTGAATTGAATTAGTTTATACGTTTTAACTTGAAATTTTACTATTGGTAACCCCTATATATCAGCCAATCTACTACTACACTTCCATTGAAAACACTACATTTACTTGACATGATCTTCAAAAACAAGTTATGCAAGGAATATTTATTGGAAAGATGCTATAAAGAGCACACTACAACTAATCAAGAATTATGCAACAATTATTTATGATAATAGAATATGAGTATTTATAACCAACACTCTATATATATATATATATATATATGCCGCTAGAGGCTTTAGCGACTCTGGATGCAACAAAATAATTGTGGTTCAATTTAGCTTTTGGGATTAAGTTAGACCCGTATGTATTTACACAAGCCAAATCCAGAAACATATAAGAAGGAACAGTTGTTCAAAATTAATGACGTGCATTTTCAGTCAGCCGTGCAAGCTGCTCCTCGTAAGACCTTGGTTTTAGCTCCTTCAACTCATTTGTCACATGCTTAAAAGCGTCAATTAAGGAATTAACCTCCAATGCCTGATCAAGAAGCTTCACAATATTAAAAAAAAAATGGGTGGAAGTACCAAAAACATCATCACTCAACTTCCTTAAAAAGTAGTAACAGAAAATTAAGAATAGAATCCATCCAAACTGTTAAAGAAATACCTTTAATTCCTTGGATAATTCAGTTCTATAAGGAACACCATCATTATTTTTTAAAACTCCATTCACAAGCGAAAGAAGATGTTTCAATTAATCAGCTTTCTTCTTTATACCTTTAGTCTTATTATCAAAGAGCACTAGTCTAGAATCACACTTCTCAATGGTTTCCTGTAATAAGAAGACTACTTCAGAACAATATTAACATTCGTGAGAAGCATAAGAGAAAATGTTTATCAAACTTACTAGTTACCATAGTCACAGCACTACAACAAAAATACCTTTTAGCAACAATAAATATGAATATAAACAAAGAATTAGTCAATTGTCATTTTAGCAAAGCAATTAAGCTAGTCATTAAATAATTGCCGCTAAAGAAAATGATTGGCAGCTTGATAAACAAAGCAGATGAATCTTTAAGAAAAAAGTACAAAATAAAAGGCAGCTTGATAAACAAAGCAGGATTCGCAAAAGAGAAACCAAACGAACCATCTTTGGACAGAAGAATGACAAAACTAAAATAGAAGAGATACATAGTATAATCTGTAAGCTTATTCCAAACTCCAAACAATAGGGTGCAAATATATCAGACAAAATGAACTCAACAAGTAATCTTTTATCAATAAACCGTCCGGGCAGCCATTGTCCAATAAGTACTCATCCAAAGACTGATCTTTAAGTACATCTCCACCAGTAAAGACAACAATCATGTAATCTTTAAACTTTTCACCAAAGAACTTCTCAAAGGTTAGGACAGCTGCTTGTTCTTCACTAGAAAATCGTGATTGCACAGACAAAACCAAAAGAACAGAATGGATCCCATCCTTGGCCAAATCCATGCATTTAACGATTTCCTTTCCAATAAAATCCTGTTCATCAGAAAAACCAAACAACCCTGCAAATTCAACAACCTCCACAACCAGTAATCTCAAGAACAATATAACAAAAAAACATATGTTTTTACAAAAGATGAAAAGAAACAGGAAGCTGATGAATATGTTTCTTACATATAGATATAGATATTCATCAACAATGATATATATAGATATTTATAACCAACACTGTATATCAATGCCTAACAACTC